AGGGAATTCACCCGTGCTCAAGGGTGCCTCAGCCACAGCCTCCTGCTGAGGCTGCTCCTTTGAGGCCAAATTGTCCTCCATGGAAGACTTGGAGGTCTCCTCATCTGAGAGGCCAGTTTCCTCATTTTCAAAGGTAATGTTGGCATTTTGGAAAATGAGCGGATGATAGTCCAGGGCTTCCCATGGCTCAGCCTCCTCACTGATACGGTCCAGTTGGTTAATAAATACTTCAGAGCCTGGGTAGCCATCTTTGGGAGCCTGCGCTTCAGCCTCCACACCAACTGGCCTCGACACATGCCCTTTGCTTCTGAGAGTCTGAGATACCTCTTCTAAGCTGGGCACTCGGTTTTTGGAATAGACCACCAAAGGTACCAGGGATGCAGGGATGTCAGATAGTCCATCCCCTTGAGGTCCCAGCCCATGTCCAGATCCTGGAACCCTCTCCCCACTTGTTTTCATTGCCTTCTTCCCAATCTGTTTGATGAGGTCATTGTAGGTCTCCTCTTTTTTGGAGAGGAAGCTGAAGATGTTGACGTCTTTGGAGGCTGTACTTCCAGCCATCTGCAGGGCCTTCCGGGAGTGTGGGGAGCTCTCAAAAGATTCCTTTCGCCGCCGCCGCCTCTTCTTAATGGCTTTGTGCACTTCCACAAACATGCTGACCTTCCAGTTGACAAAGAGGGACAGCCAGGCCAATCCCAGGTAGATCCAAAGTTCCACAAAGTAGCGGTACAGGGCATGGTAGTTGGCACTGGGATTCACACCTGTGAAGACAGGAAGCCCAGAGTCAGCAGAAGCCTACCAAAATGGCTGACACCGTGCTGTCCTAGTAAACCACACAGAGCACAGTGTCAAAGACAAGACCTGGGGAGACAGCCCAGGAGGACCCGAGCTCTAACATCAGAATCCATGTAAAAACAAGAGCGCTGGTTGTCTTAGAGGACCCGTGTTCGATTCCCTACACCAACATAGCTGCTTACAACCATTTGTAACTCTAGTTCCAGGGGCTCTGACACTCTCTTCTGGCCTCTTAAGGCGTCAGGCACATAGACATACATACAGGCAAAATCCCCCTGTATATTTTTTTTAAATTATTCATTCATTCATTTATTTTTTTTTTTTTTTAAAAAGAATCCACGTGAAAGGCCAGGTGTAAGGAAGCACAGCTGTGACACCAGGCAGGGCCCTGAGGCTGACTGGCCAATCACCGAGTCTAATAGATGAGCTCCAGGCTAATGAGATTCTGTCTCAAAAGACCCAAGGTCGGAGCGCTTCTGAGCAAATGACACCTCGAGGTTGACTCCACACACTTGAGTGTGCACACAGGCATACGTGCACAACAGAGGCCTAGACTACGTCATCTATCTCCTTCCTCAAGGACTGTGGTTCCAGCACAGCCCAACTCTAAGCCCCAGTTTCTCTAATTGCAACTGAGGCTACTTTTGAGTTGAGGGGAGCTAGAGGGGCTCTTGGGGAGACTGTAAAATAACCAGCTCACACGTATGCATCCTCCCAGCCAGGGAGCGCATCTCAACTCAGTCAAAAACGGAATGGAAACTCAACATTGGGGGTGCTGGCAGCCTTAGATGGGGAGGGACTAACTGATTTACTGTGAATGATGGTTGGGTCAAGATGACCCAGGAAGCACTGACCTGGCAAGAACCACTCCAAACCGTCTTTACCCTCCTCCAAGGTGGAGTCAGCCTCCCTATCTCTGCCCCGTCAGGGTAGCTCTTTGATTGATTGGCCTGGACGGCTCCACCATTCTGCACACTCCTCTGCAACACCTTCAACTCACGGCTCCAGAGGTTCACCTTTCTTCTACAATTAGTCAGGATTCCCTTCATGGTCAGGTGATGCGGCTCAGTGGGTAAAAGTGCTTCCATGAGGACCCAAGTTTGCACCCCAGGACACTTGGTAAAAGGAGAGAACCAACTCCTGAAACTGTCCCCTGACCACCACATGCGCCACAGTCTTTGTGACTTTCTATTGGCAGCTAGCTTGACCTGCATCCTGCCTTCTAAAGAGGGAAGTAACTTAACTGAAGGGCCTAGAAGAGGCAACCTCAACCTCCAGCCCTTATTAGGGTCTTTCCTGGAGCAGGAGCTAGAGCCCCTGACTGAGGAGGCACCCTGATCTGAAGGCAATCTTGCACAGGGCTTCGGATTACAAGTGGAGTCGGATAATGGCAGCAATGCAGCCCCAACCTCACATGGTTGATTTCTACCCTCAGCGCCCAGGAACCAAAGCAGATCCAAGGGTGTAACTTTTCTTACGGATCACTAAAGAAAGGATGGGTCTAGTGTCTCACTGGAGCTCAGAAGTATGGCTAAAGGTACCACAGGCTCATCCTCAGCAGACTCTGGGGCCCTGAACTAAACAATGATAGGGTTGTGCCTGTAACTTTATGTTCAGACAGCAGGCGGGTCCCAGGAAGCTGGGATCAGAAGTGTTCACTGTAGCCAGCATCTTGTTCCCTCCACCCACTCAGCTGCCCCCTCACAGCATTCCACACAGAAATGGGGCACCGGCATGACCTCCACTTGCCCTCTGGGCAAAGCAGCTGACGCGGTGACCTCTGGGAGCAGAGGTGGAGGTCAAGAGGGAGGGGCACAGACTGACATAATTAGGAATCAGGAGGCTGTGCAGGACAGAGGCACAAGAAACTGAGCTTGGGTGGCTGGGACAGGCACAAGCCCTCACACAAAGGGGACAAAGAACCTCTTCACTGCCTGTGGGGATTAAGCAGAGGAGGAGTACAAGGCTGAGGGGGCAGGGCAGTGGGGAGAAGGCCTCCCTTGTCTGGGAGCCATCCTGGTTCAGCTGGTGTGTGTGTGTGTGTGTGTGTGTGTGGGTGTGTGTGTGTGGGTGTGGTTGCAAACATGCAGAAGGCAAGAATCCAGCTGTGGCTTGTGTGTGTGTGCGTGCACACATGTGCCTGTGCTGGGGGGGGGGGCGGGGCAGGAGAGAGATAAGGATACTTATAAGGTACCATCGTCAGACTGGGCAGGGACTCACCAGCCACAAAGTCCCCAAAGCCAATGGTGGAGATGGTGATGAAGGAATAGTAGAGGCCCTCGATGTAGTTCCATTCTTCTGTCACCATGAACACAAAGGGCGGGATCACCAGGTGGACCAGGACGCCCCACACGATGAAGATGGCCGTGCATGTGATCTGAGCCTTCCGCTGGTGGAGTGATGGGAGAGCAAGTCAGCCATGGGAAAGACTCTAGGATCCCGGCTGGATCGCAGGCCCAACAGGATGGCCATCATCTGTACCAACACCTTCCTCCCCTTAACTGTATCTAGGGTTTGAGACATACCAGGCTCACTCCTCTCCTCGTAAGAAACTGGCCCAGCCTCTTGGCACGTCCCCCGAAGAACTTGCCCAGGGCACTGATCCACGTCAAGCACAGCGGCACCCCGAACAGACCATAGAAGACACAGAAAAGGCGCCCAGCTGGGGTCTTGGGAGCCACGTTGCCGTAACCTGAGAGAAGATAGAGTCAAGTAAGGGGACACATCACAGCCACGATTATGGAACCACAGCTGGGTTCTTGCCTCCTGCATTCATGCACCCCCCCCACACCAGCTTCAGAAGGATACACTCTTTAAGATAACCTGATCCTGTTCTAGTAACATAGATATTTAAGCAATATTTCCCTTGATCAAGCTCTGACCCTGGTCATTTACACAACTATTTCTACACTAAAGGCTTTGTGTCCTCCATTATACTGGGAGTTCCCAGTGGACAGGCACTAGGCCCACCATCATTAGGTACTCCACTCGCTCTTTTGGTACTGCTATGCAAATGAGACAGAGATGGCCCGCCCTCAATGATTAGACACCAAGAAGCAGTGTGGAGAACAGACTCCAAAGAGGGCCACTCCTAATCCCTCTGCCTTTATGCAAATGCTCATGTCAAGGAGTCGAGTCTATGAATCTGAGAATCAGTGACTTGGTTGGCCAGAGAGGAAGAAATGATTTGGCAGCTGAGGCTGGAAAGGCCCACTGCTACTCCCTGCCTTTATGCACTTCGGAGATTCTTCCTTTAGAGTCCAGCTGCAGAGCCACATGCAGAGGCCCTATGTGTCCAGCCTCAGCCAACAGTCAAACAATGGGTTGGAGAAGACAGCATGAACTCCAGGCCGGTGGGACAGCCACTTTTAGATTACCATCTACTGGAGAGCCCACACAAGAACTGCCAGCTGAAACCAGCCAACCCCCCAAAGGTGGAAGACTGTAACTGCTTTAAGCCACTGACTTCCAGAGTGGCCAGCCACATAGTCAGATAATATTGGCGCTTTGGGCGATGAGCAGCCTAGCTCACCTGTGTGGCTCTGGCCACCAGACCATGCCAATATTGCTACCTAAAGAGACCCAGCAGAATTCAGAATCCAAGTAAGGGCTGGGTGGGTGTGGTGGCCTGCCTATAACATCCCAGCACACAGGTGGCAAAGACATGGGATCCCTGGAGCAAAGTGACTAGCTAGATTAGCCAAAATGGTGAACTTTTGACTTGGTAGAGACCATGCCTTAATACATAGAGAGCAATCAAAGAAGATGCCGATGTCAACCTTGGACTCCCACACATACATGTGTGCCCATACAAACACACATGCACTCACATGCATGCACACACTATGCATACATACATAAGCAGAAATAATACAAATACCAAGTTCAAATCAGGACCTATGGAAGTAGTTGTACAGTTATAACCAATTACCCAGGACTTACTAAGTCCTTCCTAATCAGGACAGGGTAAGACTGTGTGTGTACTTGATAGCCAACATGGCTTCAGTCACCAAAGCTGGATTCCTCCGAGGTTCTGAGGAGTGAGGATGTGGACATGGGTATACTGAAGGTCTAAGGGGACTCACCAATGGTGGTGATGACCGTGGCTGCAAAAATCATCGCATTAGGCCAGTTCCAGTTGTTGAAAGTCTGGTTACCTGTAATGGCCACACCCTGATCTGCAGCATCAGACACCACCTAAAAAAAAAAAAAATCAACAAAACACGGGGAAGGTCAGGGCTGACATGATTTCTGGGTGCTAAAGAGGCAGCTCAGTGAGAGTCCTCCTTGCTTGGCATGCATGCATACTCTGAGCTTCATTACCAGCACAGCATAAACCTGGCCCCATGGCACACACTTATAAAAGCTGATACTGAAGAGGAGGCAAGAGGCCGGCGGTGGTGGCGCAGCCTGTAATCCCAGCACTCAGGCAGAGGCAGGCGGATCTCTGAGTTCGAGGCCAGCCTGGTCTACAGAGCGAGTTCCAGTACAGCCAGGGCTACACAGAGAAACCCTGTCTCATAAAACCAAAGAGGGGAATGAACGATCAGGATCAAGACCATCCTTTGAAGTCAGCCTGGGCTACCTGAGATCCAGCAACAACACACCTCAGAGTATCTTCACTTAACCAATATCAAAGTTTCTAGCAGTGGTCGTTGCTATACAGCTGAAACATTTTATAGAGAGGACAAGAAAGGTTGAATGATCTACCCGGGTCCACGTAGCTAGGGAGAGATGTGAACTAGGAACTTGGCTCCAAAATTTGACAGACACATGTTTCCAAATCACCCACAAAGCCAAGACAGCTTTTACCACAGGCTGCCAGGAAGAGGGCTTTTCGAAAGAGTTCCCTGGTGGTGCTGGTCCCAGGACTGAACTCCAAGAGCTCCGTATGCAATGCAACTGCCTTGGAAGTCTCCTATACCTAAGTCCTCTATGGCCTGGGAAGGAACTCCAACCGTTTTCCCTGTGGGACAGCCACTGAGTTCAGCTCAATATCTCATGGCCAAGGATGTGTGTCCTTGTCCTTGGGGATATGCAAACCAGCTAACCATCCTTCCCCCTATACACACACACACACACACACACACACACACACGGGGGCGGGGGGATGATGCTCATGTGACCCCCCTCCTGACAGACTGCTCTTCCCCGAAGATCCTTTCTTCTCTCTGCCCTGGGATAAGCAACTGTTGGGGCAGAGACAGATAAACTGGTGCTGAGTACCCTTCGAGGCGATCAAAACTGTGTTACCAGTCCCACAGAGTCCCAGTAGGCAGGGGCCCAGGGCAGGCATTCTCAAAGCACCACACCTGCTCCACAAACCTCTATCTGCCTTACTCCAAACTTCGGCTCTGCCCATCACTCAGCTCTCATCCAACCCATGGAGCTGTACCAGCTGCCAGAGCCGGCACCCGAGAGTCCTTTATGGGGAATGGGGGGTTTCAAGTTCTGTCATTCAAGGTCAGCCCCAGGGTTGACCCATCAGACTAGAGACCAGAAACTCAGCCAAATTTCCTATAAAATCCAAGCCAAGGACAGCAGGGAACAGCGAGAGCTGGAAACAAAGGCAAAGTGGAGAAGCCATCATTTCTAAGCCGCCCGAAGCATGACTGAGGTTTGGAGGGAAGGAGGGAACGCATGGATGGCTTCGAAGGAATGCACAGTTTGCAGAAGCAGCAGAGGCCGTGTAAATGGATCTGCGTACTCAGTGAAGAATTTTCCATGATGACATGCCTGCCCGACACCCCATTAGACCACAGGCCGCTTGCTGTTCTACCTCCCACTGTCATTCCCAAGCCTAGGAGACAAGGGAAACAGGGGCTCTCACAGTGACATTACCCAGGGCACTTGGAGGTGTAAGCAGTCTATGTATAAGGGCATCTTAGATGCTAACAGACCTGTAGGACCATCCAACAGGTTCTTTCTTCAATTCTGGGGGATTGAGCCCAGGGGCACACACCTGCTGGAAGATAGCTCTGGTAACAAGCCACACCTCAGCATCCAACTTTTAACTTTAAAAATCTATCTGAACAAGAGAATGAGGAAATTCTAGAGCCCCACGTGTTGACATTAAACAGATGAGGAAAAAAGGCAGAGCCATTTCAGCCCCCACCTGTTACCTCAGATAGAAATCTTAAGCCAGACAGCCCGAAATAAAACAAAGTGTGCAGGAATGGGGGTGTGACTTGACTGTAGAGTGCTCCCCTCGCCCAGGTGGCACACTTGCCATCCCAGCACTTGGAAGGTGGAAGCAGCATCAGGAGCTTAAAGCCAGCCTACGGTAGAGACTCTGTCTCAAAAACAAATAAGCAAGGAGCTGGAGAGAGGGCTCAGAAGTTAACAGCACGTCTACTCACGGAGGATCCAAGTTTGGTTCCCAGTCCCCACATCAGGCTGCTCACATCTGCCTGTAACACCAGATTCAGGGAGATCCAGTGTTTTTGGCCTCCAGGGGCACCTTCATGCATTTGCACATACCCAAATGCACACACATACATAGAATTAAAATTTATAAAAATTAGGTTTAGATAAATAAATAATAGCACTCAGGAAATAAAGGGAGGTGGATCTCTGAGTTTGAGGCCAGCCTGATCTATATATCACAAGTTCCAGACTAGTTAGAGTTATATAATACCCTATCTCAAACAAACAAACAAACAAAAACACAAACAAGCAAATCAATCAATAGAATGCCTTTGAATTGGATCTAAAATGACATTGGGTTACCACCTCTGATCATTCTCATTGAAAGATGTCAGAAAACAAGCTGCCTGTGTGTTTACAAAAAGAAAAAAGGGTAAATTCTAGATATTTTGTTTTTGAAACCATCTCTCTATGAAACCCAGGCTGATCTCAAACTCAGTTTTCCTACTTCAGTTTCCTGAATGCTGGACTTCCAAGTGTGTACCACCAACTCTGACTTCTGAAACCTTCTGGGAGATCTGAACATTTGGAAGAAGCTGAGTACACTTCCTTCACTGAAGGATGCAGAGCCTCGATGTCATGTGTAAGGCACTCAACGCCAGAGCCAGCAAGGCGACCTGCAGTCACCTTCAACAGTGCAAACTGGAGAGAGGAAGAGTGTCTCAGCCCATTCACAGGCAGCTCAACATCCCTAAACAGGACTCTCATCACCAGTCAACAGAGGACCCCAGGGTCATGCCAAGGCCTGGCCTCTACAATGGTTCCTTTCATTTACTCAATGGCACAGCCAAGTCATCAACAACTTACCACTCCCTTGGGCAGAAGATGCAAAATTAAGAACCAGTGCAGAAAGGGAAGATGACCACAATACCACAGTCAGAATTAATACAAAATGAGTATATTTTCAGTCTTCACACTTTGAATCAGAAAAGGCCAGTGGAGAAGTGGAGAGGGCTGGAGCCATGGTTCAGTGTTTGCCAGGTGGGGGTGGGGGCTGTTGTTCCAATCTAGCTGAAACAGTAAGTTCCAGGTCCATTAATTGACCCTGTCTCAAACAATGAGGCAGAGACAGAGAAAGACACTCAGTGCAGAACTCTGGCTTCTACATGTACATTCATATACCACCACCACACATACATATGTGCGAAAAAGAAAAAAAAAACTGAAAAAGTTAGCATAGGACAAAGGGGAGAGTCCTTGGTCTCAGCTGACCACAGATCAGCAAACACCAGGGTAAAAAGTAAACCCCGAAATGGATTATCTACCCAGGGTTGGAGATACCAAGTTCATTGCGTTTCAGGGTCCGTTCCACTCTGTGATAGACTACACACATCATGTAACCAAGAGCTGACAGTCGAGAAGAGCCACCAGGGAAGCTTTTGCAGAGAACAATCTGCCGCTGCAGTTATCAGCTCCTGGTACTGAGAAGTCCACCAGGGAATTACACACACACACACACACACACACACACACACACACACACACACACACACACCATATGAAGAAAGCTCTGCTTTCTGGAAGGTTGAAAGACGGTGTTCCCGGGGTGCATTGCATGCCAGGAGGGGGTACAGTTGTCAACAGACAGGATCTGTCTTCTCACAGGTTTTCTCTCATGGCTGACAGAGATGAGGCTGTCATGACACGGACGGCAGGCCACAGATTCACGGACACCCCTACCCGAGATGCCTCACCACTCAAGGGCCACCTGGCATTTGGAAGTCTTGAGAAAGAACTAAACAGCCACCCAACACAGAGTTGAAGAATACAGGAAGACATGGAGAATGGCAATGCCGGCCTTCCTGCCCTCACCCCACTGGTGGCAAGACTTTCTGAATAAGAACTTGCAGCCTCAGCCTCTCCCTCCCTGGGTTAACAAGAGCCACGGCTCACCTGCTTTCCCCGTGACTTGCCTGAGTTCTCCTGAGTCATCTACCAAGGACAGATATGGAAGATATGTAAGGTAGGCCTCTTCTGACTCAGAGTCCCTAACCCCATTCACCTTCAGGAAGCCTTGCAATGGTGGGAAGACACTGCTGTAGAAGGGTGGCAGAGGAGTAGATGGGCACACAAGGTAAAGACTTGGACATCTGTGGCAACTCCAAGCTTCCCTCCCTCCACTGCTTTAACAGACCTGGGGCTCTCCAGTGCTCCCTCTCTGTTGCTTCTCTATGCACCCTTCTCAAATGTGGCTGGTTTGGAATCTGCATGGCTCCGTGCCAAAGCTGGAACAAAGATGGGGGTGGGGAGGGGATGATCACAGAATGGGACAGTATTGCTGTGGCCAGACACCCATTTGCTTGGACTTTGACACATACAGCACCTGCCTGACTCTTCCCAATTCTGTCAGTCATCACTTGGCACAGAGCTGAGTCTAGATGTGAACTTGGGGAGGGCCAGCTACCCATGTTCCCACTGTGCAGAGCCATGGTTCTGGTGGAGACGCATGGCTGGCCATGGCTGGGATTCCACGGGGTAAGGAGGAGGCCTGAACCAGTCTCCCAGAACAGAAGGGCTGACCCAGGATGGAGGTCATCCCTGGGTTAGGGGAGGGACATGGGGGAGTCAGACAAACCCTGTTAGACAAGGCGTCCTGTTCTCAGGGTTAGGGAAACAGCTTTCGCCGGAGGAGGTGGCCCCTGTTCATTCGCAATACTCTTTAACTTGGCTCCTAAATTCACAAGAGACAATATTTTCATTTTCCGCCTAAGCCTGGAGGATGATAGAGAGAGGGGGCCGAGCCTGCACAATCCAGGCCAGGCTCCTGTTTAGAGACGGAATCGAGTTCCCCACTTGTCACCTTCATCATAAAGCCAGTGTGATTTATTGAGGTCTTACTACATGCCAAAGGTTGTGCTCAGCATTTTACATGCCTTTTAGCTCATTTAATGAGGACAGAATTCTGCTGGGAAAGACACTATCATTTTTTCCACATTGCAAATGAGAAACCAAGGATGAGACAGCAAGGAAGTAGTAACCAGAGGTCGTGGTACTAAAAGCTACAAGGCTGGGCCTAGAACCCAGGGTTCTAGTCAGGGTGATCCTAATCCCTTCCCGGACAGAGGATGCAGGAAGGACTTATGCACAGTTCCACTCCTTCCCATCAGCTGAAAAAACACTGCCCTAAACCCAGCGTGGCCACTCCCATCCAGGCCTCCAGTAAGCCAACATCTATGCCCCGACTATGAATTACGGACACCATCACAGTTTAGGACGTTTCTTTGCATAGGGCAGGGGAAACTGTGGCCAAGGCATGAGCCACATCCATCTAACCAGCAACCATGCAGTTATGCAGTCTTGCCTGCAACGCCTATGGCCACTATGGCTTCCCAAACATAGAACCCTCCTCTACTGTGTAAGATACAACCCGAGTAGCTGGCCTCTCTTCTTGCCCCTGCAGAACTGCAACCTATGGTGCGCTCCAAGCAAGAACCAGAATCTTTGCACTCTCCTTGGCTACTGCTGGATCCCTTCCCATGTTCACATGGTCCCACTGGCCTGGAAAGCCACCTCACCTGCCCAGACTGCAGATGCTGAAACCATTCAGTCTCCTCTCGGTGGCTCTTCCAGACACCATCTCCTAACTGTGTTGCTCTTACGCTGATATTTGGGCACATATGGGGACAGGTGCTGATCAAAGTACTTAAAACATTTTGTTCAGTGAGTGGCTAAGCCTTGAAAAGCAGGAACCACTATTAGTCTATTGTTAAGATGAGAAGCAGGCTCCAGCCTAAGGTCAGTGGTGGAGCTCGTACCACTATAGTACAGAGGGAGAGGGCAGGACACATGTTAAGTTGTTTGGTATGATGACGCCAGGCTTATAACACATCACCCCAGGTAATAACTAAGACAACGTTAAATGTCACCAGAAAAGGCGGGTCCCCTGCAGTATAAGCCCCAAGAAGGGAGAGATTTTGTATTCCTGGAGCTTAGGCTCTGCCTAGCATAATGTAGCTGCACAATTAAATACTGTTACGTGAGTATGGATACAGAATGGGGTTCATTTGTCTTCTGATGCCTACACACCCAACATCTTTGAGCATTGTTCTAAAGTAATTTGCTTTGCTTTTAGGTAGGAACTCATTGTGTGGCCCTGGCTGGCTTGGAATTTGCTATATAGACCAGACTGGCCCCTGCATCTCTGTGCTAGGATTAAAGGCTTGTACCATCATGCCCGGCTATAATTGCGTTTTAAACAATTTTAGCTACAACAAAGTAGAGCTTTTTGTCCATTATAAAAGGGGAGATGCAAGCCCCAGAAATGGTAGGGTGTTCAGGATAAGGCTGAATACTGGGGTGGGGAAGACTGATGACAACCTCTCACTGAGGGACAGTGGTTCCCCCAATCTAAGGGAAGGGAAAGAAGTCAGCTGGAGAGGGGATGGCGAGGGGGGGGGGCAGAGACAGAAAGAGCAAAGGAAAGGCTACAAGACAGCAGAGCAAGCAGTGACTGAGGGGAATACCCATGGGGTGACCAGATTGTCCTTCCTGCAGGAAGGACACCTGACACCTCCGGAAACCCTCACAAAGGCGGTGGCTATGGAAAGACCAGGAAAAGGAAGAAATATAGAAGTCAATGCAGACTGATGTATTTACTACCAGCCTGGCACTTCACTGACTCCTTGCCAACACCTCGCTCCAAATACACTCACCCCTAGTCACAGACAGTCCACTGTAGCGATGACAGACTGAGTCATCTTAGATACAAGCGGAACCAGTTGGACCCACCTGGGAGTGAGCTGGACAGGGTCTCTCAAAGGCCAGCAGCCTTGGGTAAACTACTTGGCTGCTCTTGGCCTGTATTTTCTGAACACACGAGGAGCATCCAGGACCCAGTGAGAGTTGGCCAAGTGTGTCTGTCATCAGCATGACAGGCTCATCTGTCTTTCTCTGTCTAAAGTAAGAACACAGACACTGTAGACAAGTCAGATCCAAGTAAAAGCCACTCCCCCACAAAAAGAAACGGGAGAAGTGTCAAATCCTGGACAGGGCGAGAAGTTCAGCCTATGCCTAGAAGGCAGGGTCCGTGAGAAGAGGTGGCAACTGGCTCTTACTTTCTCTTTCTCTATCTTCTCATCTCTTGGTTTCCTCAGGGCACATGGAGAAATCAGTGTCTCCATAGCTGGGCAGGGAGAAACCAAGGCTCACCATCCTTCAAAAGGGAACCTTATCAGCTGCCTCTAGTTTTGAGTCATCCTCACCATGAGCCAGCCAACTAAGCAAACAGGTGAGGTCAAGGCCAGCAGGGACAGATGGCTACTTCTCTGAACTTAGCTCCTAACTGTCCCCAGCGTCACAATCAACAAAAGTCTGCCTGCCACTGGCCTCACACTCACTCACTGTCCATGCCCACTGGTCTCTAGTATGATCCCTTCCAGACAAAAAGCCAGGGGGAAGCAGGCCCAACAGGAATGGAGGAGTTCTCTGCACAGAAGTCACAGTTGTTTCAGCCTACTGAGTATAGCAACTGTCTTTTTTTTTTTTTTTAAGCTACAGCCAGGCATAGGTCAAAGAAGGGAGACCCCAAACCATCCTTCATCCCTCAAAGCAGTTTAGGAATCGGGGTGAGAAGTGAGGAGTCAATGGAGAGTGTTAGTATGCCCAGCTGAGCAGTGGGCCCCCACTCAATCTGATAATCCCCACTGAGACTGGGGACATACCAAAACTATCTTGGAAGAGCTAGTGGTACCACTGACTCCCCTGGCCACCACCGCCCAGCCTGTTCGCAGATTTTTAAAAATTCTCCCAATGGTTACCTGGGGGTGGTGGTGAACATCTTTAATCCCAGCACTCGGGAGGCAGAGGCAGGCGGATCTCTGTAAGTTCGAGGCCAGCCTGGTCTACAGAGTGAGTTCCAGGGCAGCCATGGATACACAGTGAAACCCTGTCACTTTGTGGGGGGGGTCCCCAAAAGTGAGGCATGGTGATGCACGCTTGCAATCCTGACACTCCAGGAGGTAAGGGGAGAATCACACGCTCATGGCCAGCCTGGGCTATCAAAAACAGACACACACCAAACCAAACCAACAAGAAAACAAATTTCTTTCAAAGCAAACTAAAAACAAATGAAAAACTTTTGCAGCTGCCTTTAGTGCAGGGAGTGGGAGCGGAGAACTAGGGCCTTCTATCTTTCTATCTGAGCAGAGAACAGAGGGCAGGGAGGAATTCCTGGTATTTTCTTCACTGCCTTCTCCCCAGCGCAGGGTGACTGGGGTGTGTCTCAGAGGGCAGCCACAGCTCAGATCAAGAGTCCAGTCGTACCACCTTCCTCCCCGTGCCAGCGGGAGGCCCAGCTCACAACATCTTGTCTTACCCAAGAAAGAGCAGGTCTCCTTTGGGGCAGATGGTGGGGGGCCTGGGAGGGCAACACCGTGTTGTTCCTTCATCAGTTGCTGCAGTTTCAACAAGCCAGATGTCATAGCATCCTCTCTACCAAGACCTGGAGACTTTCCAGGAACCTTTAGCCTCCCTAACTACATCTTCTCTACAAAAGAAGATCTGACCATGACCTCCTAAAATTCCAGTTTTCTACCGCCCAGACCAGCGCCTTTCCTCACCCTACCCTTCCTCTTCTTTGGCATGTTCAAAATATATATTGCTTTCAGCATGGAAAATTATTACTCCCAGGTCAGGAGCCCCACTGCCAGGCCCAGTTTTCTGTCTTCTTCCCATACTCTCTTAGACCGGAGAGAAGGCCCTTCCTGTCTATACTCATGTTTCATCCTTGAAGAAAAGTGTCCAGCGCCCACCCACTGAAAAAGCAACCATCTATAGAAGTACAGGCGAGGCTCCACCCCCACACACGGCCATGGTAGCCCTGCAGTGCCTCACACCAGATTCATACTCCAAGCCCAGAAACCCAGGCAGCTCATGAGGCAGGGTGGAAAATGGCAGGCTTTAGGGGACCCACTTATCCTCCAAGAAACAGGGAGCCACAGCACAGTGACAAGTAAGTAATGGGTAGGTAGGGGATACAGTGTGGATACACTGGATGAAGAGTGGGGATGATTCACGTCCTAGGCAGGAAGTAGCAAAGGGCATGAAATTCTACCACGTGACTCAGAACAGTGAGTTAAAGTTCATGAATTACTTCTGGAATTTTATGTTGAATACTTTTGGACCACAGTTGACCATAAGTAATCAGAAATTTATAGAAAGTGAAACCACAAAGGAAGATTACTGTGCTGTGGCTTCTTGACCTGGACAGTACCTAACACAGGGGAGGGGAAGCAGTTAGCTAGGTCTTACACCCATGTGTCGATGTGTGAAGGCCAGAGACTGTCCTCTGCTTTCTTCCTCAGCTCCTATCCACCTTCATTTTTCTAGGCAAGGTCTCTCACTGAACCTGGAACTCAGATTCAGTTAGACTGGCTAGCTAGAGGGCTCCAGGAACCCATCTGTCTGTGCCTCCTGAGGGCTGGAATTACAGACACATGTTTCTGCACCTGGATTTGAGCACTGGCTGTGAACCCAGGTTCTCGTGTTTGCATGGCAAGCATTTTTAACGGTTGAACTAGCCCCCCATCCCCTCAACCAATTTTCAAAAACAGCTACCCTGGACCCAAGGTCTGTTTGTGACTGTCTTCCCATCCAGCTTTGGGATTCCCCTGCTGCCCTCCCCGCCCTCTCTCAGCAGCCTCTGTGGAGCTCAGAGACACCACCTGCAAGGTCTCACGCTCTCTCGAACTCCAGAACTCCTGGGAGCAGACTTGTGCCAAAAGGGAGCAGCAGGGTTTTTAGCAGTTACATCTGGGTTTCCGACTTTCACAGGCCTGGGAACCCTGTCCTCACTTGGAAGGGACAAAGAAAACAAAGCAGGTGGCTCTGTCCCCATTGTTCTCACCCTGGGATAGTCACCTGCCCTGTTCCCGGCAGGCAGCCGGCCCTCCTCCCATGAGTGCAGAGAGGGCAAAGTTTGGCCAGGAGTACAGGGAAAGACTGCAGGGGTCTGAGCTCAGGATGGAATGTCAGCAAGGACCCTGAGACACCCGGAGAGCTGGAAATCCCTGCGCGTGGATAGAGTCACAGAGCACAGCTGCTTGCCCAAGAACCGGCCGTGGGGAGCTAGAAAGGGCCCTTCCCTCCCCGGCACTCCAGCAGGCTCCTCTGGAGCCGAGCTGCTGGAAGACAGGACGGGCATTTTTCATGGCCCTGCAGCATCTGAGCCCCCAATTCACCACCACTGCCCTCCCAAGTGGTCCAAGTCCCTGCTCTGTACTAGTATGTGTGTCCATCTGAGATGCTGGGCCTTGAGTTTATGACGTCATCCCTTTCCACCGCCAGAATCTAGACCTCCAGGTGCACGGCACCTGATGATGATGGAAGGGGGATTCGTTTTCTTAGTGACTGGGGTTCCTGGTAGGTTACCCATGTGCACATCATAGATAGCACTAGTTAGGGGCACATGTTGGCAGGGGTGGGTGGCTCATGGAGAATGTGGGAGAATTATGGCGGATACGATCAAGAACATCGTATGCATACATGGAATTGTCAAAGAAAGTTTCTTTGTAAAGTTGGAAAAGACTCTAGATAGACACGACAGCATGGCAGGAGAATGGCCACACACTCTGATCTGATCTTGACCACATCTTTAGGGTGCACACACTTAGGCTCCCCACTTCATTCAATTCAGCATGACCTTGTGGAGAAATGGAAGGAGTGACCACAGGAAGCCATACTCAAGGTTTCTAAAAACAGCACCTTGAGTAGGCTACAAAGGAGGTCACCGTGGGAACCACTGACTGGCCATCTCCTCATCCATAGCAGACATCTGGGAAAAAGCTGGTTTGCCTGCAGCTGAGCTGCCCTGCCTCATGGCTGCTTGCATCCCGGCCTCTATAACCCAGGTCTATATGGAACACACATGTCCAGATGGCCCAATAAGATAACTTCAAAGTTCCAAGTGTCCAGTGTGGAGTCTTCCTTTGGGGGCAACTCCAGGGCAAAGATCCTGGCTTTGGGCAGATGGACCCAGGCTCTAACCACACAAGCAGGTGAAGCATGACCTAATACCATGGCTGGCTTACTTATTCATATCTATAAAACAGGAGAACCATGGTTCCATTTAGGCTAGGCTGGGAATCATGGTTCTGGACAAATAGCATGTTCTAGAAGTGGATCCTGGAAAGTGGATGTGGCCATGGCTGTTTTACACACGGAACAAGGGGCCTTCTATTCTGAGTGTCTATGACTGCTGTATGTGACATTGCCTTTGGCCACCTATCACCACCATGACAATCAGAGACTGGGACAATGGTTTGAGCTTGGCACATTTCCACCCATGCTCCTGTAGGCACCAGCCACGGCTCATGATCTTCCTTCAATCATTTCCACACATGTTCCTGTAGACACCTGTCCCGGCTCACAATCTCCCTTCAATCAGGTCTCATCTCCACCCTCTCCTTCTCTGAGGGCCATGCTCCAGGGCTTCATCACACTTCATCATGCCATTGGGCATCTGTTTATCTGACTCACTATGTATACTGACCAAATGGGTCAGAGCTCAGAAGGCAGACTCCACTCACACCACTAAACCCAAAGCAGGGCCTCCACTGGAAAGCACTCCATATTAACCAACGAAACGATGGGGTCTCTAAGACATCTGCTTGCTGGGGCATGATGTGAGCGCCCTATGGCTCAGGGGGGTGTGAGGTGCACTACCAGTGCAAGTGGTGGTGACGACTTCCAGGTCCCACTGGCTTTCTGTATCCCCAGAGGTCCTAGCCTAGTCCTTGTGGACTTTGGAACTAGATTCTAGAGGAAAGAGACTGGGTGGAGATGGGAGGGTAAGGCTGAGTGAGGGATGTTCAAAGCGGTTGAAGGTCCACTGGTCTTCTGGTGCATGCCATACCTCAGGCTCTCCTGGAAGGAGAGAGCCCTTTCAGATCGTGCAGCATCCCAATCCCAGCAGCTGTTAGTTCTACTCCACTGTGCACAACTCCCAGCTCCTGCCTCCCCAGTAGGATGCCTGCCCCTAAATCCTGCCACATGTTTCTTCTAGGTTATACCTGTACCCTTAGGAGTTTGATTGGCTCTGTCCCGTTGTGTCCTTCAAGATGTCACAGACAGGGGCTGGAGAGGTAGCTCAGTGGTTAAAAGAACTGACTGTTCTTCCCAAGGACCTGAGTTCAATTCCCAGCACCCACATGGCAGCTCACAACTGTCTGAAGATCCAGTTCCAGGGGATCTGACACCTTCACACCAATGCACATAAAATAAAGTTAAATAAACCATTAAAAAATTAAAAAAAAAAAAAAGATGTCACAGACAATGTAGCAAGCATCCCAACCCCACCTACACATCCCTCCTTCTACTGTGGCTGGCAGCCTGGATAATAATGAGTAACTAACTACCCATCCTTAAAGGCGGGGAGGGGGGGTTCTGATGATAAAGGGTTATGAAGAGCCCCATTGATTATAATTCGTTTAAGATGACCACGCGGTTAAACTGTAAACCTCTTCACTAATTAGAAAATCAAAGCCTACAGCGTGCTAGGTGGTGGTATAACTCCAGGAAAACTCCTGGTTGCTGTACCCCTCTCACCCAAATTGCGCCTCCAGATCCTGTCTGAGAGGCTGTCATCCAACCATGCTCCAAACATGCTCTCGCCCCATCGTCTCCACAAAGCTCCCTGCCCGCTCCTTCTGAAAGCCACCTGTCACAAAACCCTTCCCTTATTGCCCGACTCTAACCTAACCCCCCACCAGCCCCCGGCTGTGGTCCAAGCCCATTTCCTCTACTTTAGTCACTGGCTGGAGACAGACAACAGCTGGCCTCCATCCTCCCTGGAATAAATTGTACAAGAAACTGCCAGGAACCGGGCACAGGCATCTCGGCATAGACGTACTCTGGGGGTCAGGGGAAGGAGGGGCAGTGCAGGAATGCTTTCTCTGCCTCAATGGCTTCTGAGGAAGAAGACTGAGTCACAACTGAGACTATGACACCCCATAACCCCAAAGCTACTGCAGAAACAAGGAGGACTATGACTATCTGTAATATGGCTCTACCTCTCAAATCTCACACCCGAAGTTCTGTCCATAGGACTCCCCCACCCACACACACATTTAGTGACCACAGGGATGACATATAGTGTGTGGGGAAAAGTGACCCCTCAGGCATGTGAAGAAAGAGGGGCCACCCAAAATAGCTCCCCCGCCTACCTATCATCACTACCAAACATTGTGGGATGTGACCAGGTTAAGAAGCATAAGCCATTTGGTACTGATATGACAGAAAAACCCAGCCCGCGTTCTTCCAGGACAGTGGGGCCAGGCTGAGGTGAGGGTTGCGGTAGGAGCTGAAGAAACTCCCACTCTCACTAACCTGGGGCCCAGGACCAGGGACAAGCTAGGCAACAGGAAATGGAAAGTCTGCTGCTGGCAGAGCACAAGAATCTTACCAGAGACAATGGCCCACTGCCAAAACTAGAGGAGGACCCTACCCTGCTCACACGCCTCCCCCACCCCATCCCACCCCAGGACTCGGTAGTTTTGTTTTGTTTTGTTTTAAACAGGGTCTCACTAGAAGCCCAGACTGGCCTGCAATTTACTGTGTAGGTCCAGGCTGGCCTCGAATTCTGTGGTCTTCTTGTCTCAGCCTACAGAGTGCATGCTGTGTTCTTAAGCAAGAACATCCCTCCATACCAAGCACGTGTCACATCTTAGCACTCAGGAGACTGAAGCAAAAGGACCCTAAGTTCAAGGCCACACCAGGCCACATAATAAGTCCTTTTTTACCCCCAAACAACTATCACAAGCAAAGAGACCTTAAAATGTTTAAATCCTTAACTCCCTCAGTTTCCTACTGAGTGGTGAACACTCAGCTGACAAGTCTGCCCAATGTCAGCTACTGTCTGGTCCCCTGCCCTGAATCATGGCCTGTTTCTTCACTTATAAAATACAAACACTACCACCTGCCCACTATCCCGGGACAGTCCTCAGCATTACAGCAAAAGGGGCCACGGCAAGCATGAAGCCAGGCAGAGGCTCCTGAGCCACAAGCTTACAAAATCCAGACATAGGGATTGTGTGGAAAGGTGGGCTGGGTGTGGGCATGGGAGACGGAAGGATGAACAAATACACTGTGTTCCCAAGTCACCCGACTCGAGCAGAAGAAGAAATCCTCCCGTGAGCTTAGTTTCCCTGACAGCAGCAGGAAGGGCTTTCTGGGAATTGCCAGAGGGTCCATCCATCCGCATATCTACTGAAGCTGAGGCTCCTGAGCTGGGCCAGGTCACTTAAAAACTAACCCAGAAGCTGGAGATGGCTCAGAGCATTTGCTGCTCTTCTAGAAGACCCGAGTTCGAGCCACATGCCCATGTGGCAGTTCACAATCATTTGCTAACTCCAGTCCCAGAGGATGCAATCCCCTCTTCTGTTTTCTGGGGGATCAAGCATGCAGGTGGTGCACGTGCAGGCAAAACCCCCGTACACATAAAATGTTATTAATATAAAATTAGTACAGCATACATCAGGACATGACCTGCTGTCTTCATGGCCCTTCGCCCTCCCCATTCTAACATGAGGCTTCTGGCCAATCCTGTGAAAAACAGCATGAGACCAAAGGGAAAGATGGAAGAACAAAGTTTTTTTTTTTTTTTTTTTTTTTTTGCCTTCAATCTCCCCAGGGGCCTCTGAGCCATTGCCTTTATGGAGGGACAAAGGGGCTGTGTCTGGCTGCTGCAAAGGCCACGTACAGCCAAGGACCAGCACCCCACCCATGTGTAGGGCGGTCACTCAATCCATTTAACCCAAGAAGGTGGGACCAGAGCCATGACTGGACATTCCCTGTTCCGTGAAGCTTGGAACAGAGCCAACTGATTCATTTAAGTTTTTGCTGAGCCACAGCCATGTGCCCAGAAAGGGGCAAAACAAAGGCAGGGCAAGCCACTGCCTGCCCAGGAGGATCAGTAGCCTAAGCAGAGGCCAAGCTGGTGGATGGAAGAGTTATGCAAAAAGGTTCCTTGAGAGGACAGAGAACATGAACACTAAGGCTAGGACAGTTCCTAGGGCCCACACTGGCCCCTTAAAGGATAAGCAAAAAGTACAAAGACAGCAAAGGCAACTAGGCACAGCGGCACACCCCTGGTATCCTAACACTCAAGAGGCCAAAGCCTCCAGGAGGTTCACAAGTCCAAAGCTAGCCTGGGCTACATGGCAAGAATTTGTCTCAAAAATAAAACAAAGCAAACCAGACAGGAATAAACTAATCTCCCTTTCTCTCTCCCCACTTTAGGGTCTTCTAATCTTGCACACGCGGCCAGCCCTCCTTAGAGCAGGAACACAGGATGACTAGGCACACAGGTATGTGGGATTATTAGCACCTTCATATTGTACTCCTGTGGTTTAGAGATGATGTGAGAGCCCCCAAGGGATTATGGGATGAAATTTAATCCCCGTGGTGAATTGTTAAGAGGGTAGAAATTGTGGAAATTTAATCCAATTTGATGTTCTGAGTTGGGCCTTAGGGAGGGGATCAGGACTGGATAAGGCCATCAGGGTGGAGCCCTATGACTGAATCCTAGTAGCTTTATAAGAGTGCACACGCACACACTCCACATCAGTCTCACACTCTGGTACTTGTTTTAAACACGTGCTATAATGCACCACTTCAGAGTACTGCCAGTAAGAAACCCATCTTCAGATAGAGGCCCTTGGTGGTGGGCCAAAATAAACCTCTTTTCTTCGCAACTTACGAAGTCATCTGTGATATTGCACTATGAGCAACAGAAAACAGCCCAGCATACAGTCCAGCAGAACCCTGCACGTTGAGGTCCACTCATCTGTGCGGTCTGGTGTGGCTACTGAGCACCTGAAACTTGTCAATGCTCAGTAATATGATCTGAACTTTCTTCTTTTATTCATTTAAACAGCTTAATGAGCAATATCATATTAAGAAATAAAAGCACATCTTGGCATATCCCATTCACAGAATCTATATCAAGCATACCTGACCGCCATCTCCCCTAGTATTTGCATTCCCTGGACTGTCCATAATAATCTAATTCATATCTTGCCTGGGCTCCTGTTTCCTGTTAATCTCAAACACAGGATGAGATTTCTTGGGCCCCAAGGAAGGTGGCAGGGTTGGAGTTGTATAGAGGTCAGGACTTCACTTGTTCATAGACCTCCAGAAGAGTGCTCCCCACACCCACTCCTGCAAGACACCAACCAACCCTGGGGAACAGCCACCTGGAAGTACAATGGATGGAATTATATGCCTTTCTTGGCCCATGTCAGGCCAGTTGACCAGTCTTACACCTTGTGAGGGGGGGGGGCTATGTATTTATGTGTGTGTGAGCACATGCCAAAGTTGATTTGGGGTGTCTTCCTCAATCACTTTCTCTTTATTTTTGCAGATGGCTCTCTCGATAAACCTAGAGCTCAGTGACTGGCTGGTAGGGATGGTCAACAAGCCCCATATATTCTCTTGTCTACTTCCTCAGTCCTGGAATTAGAGGTACACACTGCTATGGCCAGCTTTTTACATGGTGTGAAAATCTAAACTCAGGTAAGATGACGGAGCCACCTCTACAGCCTGGTCTCAAACCTCCACACCTGTTTCCTCCAGTCCCTGGCACTATTCATCAGGCTTTCTAGAAAGTTCTTGTCATCCTGAGCACTGACTCCCCAGCAGGTTACACTCATGCCCACTGTCCACTGACTACTGAAGGGACACTGGCTTTGTGTTCCCCACACATTAAGAACAACCAATTAAGTTCTTTGTTATAAACACACTACAACTGTATTACGGAAAATGCATGAGGCAGAAAGAGAAAAAAAGTCATCAACAATCCAGTCTCTAAAGCTTGGCCCAGCCTAGCTTCTGTTTTTTAAATTGAATTTCTGTGACTCAGTGCTAAACTTTACACCCCCTGGCTTGTTTTTGAAAATCTCAAGTATGGCTAGAACCTCAAACCTGCTTTTAAAACCACTTGGTGAAAACCACCGTGGACCAAGCAGCTCAGGCATCAGGGTTTCCATACCATCTGGGTAGGGGCCACCCACGCCCCGGGCTGAAACACACCACTCTGATCAACAAAGGCAACCTGCAAAAGCAGAGCCACCAGGGCAGGATGTGCAATACTATGAGGACAGATAAACTGGTTTCAGGAAGCTTAGTGTCCTGAGAAATTTTAAGGTACAGGAACAAATGGCTGGGGGATACCCAAGGATACATAAGGACCCCCAACAGAACAAGCAGGGGAACTGATGACATGAAGCCTCAGTTCCTGGTATTCTAAAGACAAGACTGTCAAAACACATCTGTTAGTCTTCAGTATACTGTGTAGCAATAGGAACTTTCTAGAATAGTACCCAGAGTGCCCTCCACAACTCTAGAGCTACACTTGCCCTGGTAGGGGTGGGAGGGCACTGCCAGGCAAACTCTTAGAGAGGTGCTGAAGTCCTCTCACCAGCAACCTGTGGACCTGCCTCATGGACTAGTGTCCTGGCCAAGAGTGCTGGCAGCCCCCCAGGGAGCTTGCTGGATGGAAGGGCCTGCTTAGATCATCTTCTGGGTTGGAGGTGGGTACAGTGAAATTTGCCAAGGAAAGCCTGGGACAGCGCTGCCTCTAGGCCTGGAGGCTGCAGGCAGTGAGAGAGGCAGGAGACCAAATTCGCTTGGCTCCAGCCATCATTGATGATTGTTTAGGAATGATTATCCTATAGGGTCCTCAGTTTCGGATGCAACAGGGCACAAGTCAAGAGTCCCGTGTAGAGCAGTGAGAAAGAAAGAATGGACATGACAAACCATGAGCAGTGTAGTGAGAGATGAGGTTCAAAGGAAGCCAACCCCCAGACCCAGCAATCAGGGCATACCATAGCATCCCGACCTACATTCATTTGCTTACTGGGAGAACCTAGGGTGGTGACAATATGCTATGCTTGTACCTACCTCTGAGCACTGTATAACACCACCACAACACACACTAACCCCACCCACTTCAAAGGGAGATACATGGCATATAGTATTTCTCTTCATTCCCACTGCCCTTCAAACCAGTACTGAGTCTACAACTGGAACTCCCTGTTCAAATGGCCTTGGTGAACAAACCTTTGGCTCAGAAAGGTGCAACAGCCCCGTCACACACTGAATCTTCTGAGGCTCCCCATTATAAGTTAGCTAGTCCCACTCACTGGGCCAGTCATTCCAAGGGACGCAGGGCTAGAACTAGAGTTTAGAAGTTGGGCAGGGGTGTGTGGAAAAGCTATTCATCAGGACACCCTCCCTCTTCCTGTTACCTACACTGGGGGTGCTGACAAGACACTCCTGCACCAGCCTGCCCCACTTAGCCTGCTCACTTGGCAGCTCTGGAGGGGGCAGGGACGCTGGGAAAGGCATCTTTCCAAAGCCAACATTGGCAGAATGCATTCCACAGCCCAGGGGACGTGAGTTTTATTTGAACAGCAGTGATAGGGAGGAATGGGTCTGGCGTTCCTTCTAATCCAAGGTCCATGGACAGGTGCCTACTTCTATCCTGCATGAGGAAAGGGGCAGAGGAGCAGTAAGGATACAAAGGCCACCCTGGGCAAAACAAACACCCATAAGCTCTCTTCTTCCCCTACCCAGCCCTCAGCATACAACAAGCAAGCTAGCTGTCCCTAGCAGGGCTGTGTCTGGATGGCAGGTGAACCATGGAGGAAGGAAAGTCAAGATTCTCTACCACATGCTAGGCATCACTGTGAGGGGGGCATCACTAACCCCGGGGAAGTCAAGCGGAGGTGCCTATCACAAGGTGGCTCTAGCTGACAGAGAGGTGACAGGTGACATCTTACAACTAAGCGAGTACACCTCTCCTCCAACTCTTTAATTCTCTCTTGTGGGATCCTTTCCGGGGGTCCCCTGGCCCATACTCTGGCCAAAGGATAGGAGGCCGAGGTAGTGCACTGAGTCCAAAGGCCCCTTAAGGACATTGGGAAGAGGGGTGGAGAACAGGCTGGAGACAGGGGCACTGTTGACAGCCCTGGTATAACCTAAGTTTTCCTGATTTAAAAGTTTTTATGCCTAATATGGTAAACAAGCCTGCATATATGGTCTATTTGGGCAGAACAAAGTTGTACCTGGGATATCAGAACCCCAAAGGCTACCAACTGCTCAGTGCAGTTCCTGAAGCCAGGAGCATCTAGGAAGTGTGGAGAACACAAGGGTCTGAGAACTGGGGATGCAGTTCAGTTAGAATGCTTGCCTAGCATGTATGAAGCTTTGGGCTCCATGACCAGCACTGAATGAGAATGGTCATGGTGGTGTACTTGTCCACGATGCCAGCACTCTGGAGGTAGAGACTCAAGGTCATCCTTAGTTAAAGGTCAGCCTGGGCTACCAGAGACTCTGTGGAAGGAAGGGGAAGGAGGGAGGGAGGGAGGGAGGGAGGGAGGGAGGGAGGGAGGGAGGGAGGGAGGGAGGGAGGGAGGGAGGGGAGAAGAGAAAGAAAGAAAGAAAGAAAGAGAGAGAGAGAGAGAGAGAGAGAGAGAGAGAGAGAGAGAGAGAGAGAGAGAGAGAGAAAGAGAGAAAGAAAGAAAGAAAGAAAGAAAGAAAGAAAGAAAGAAAGAAAAAAGAGAGAGAGAGAAGACAGAGAGGAGCGAGTCTCTAAAAATACAGCACAGCTTTGCAGCAGTGCTCTGGCTCCAGACTCCTGCCTGTGTGCAGAGCAGATAATTAGCTGGATGATCCTGGCTCAATTATTCAACTTGTGTGCAAGAATCCTTATCTCACCTCAGTCAGTGCAACTCCTCCCTCAAGTCACCTGTAGTTTAACAGTGGATCTCAAGGTCACCAAAGGTCACCAGGCCAGGTGGCACAAGCCTTTTAACTCCAGAACTCCTGAGGCAGAGGCAGAAGGATCTCAGTGAGTTCCAGGCCAGCCAGGGCTACACAGTGAGACTCTCTTAAAAAGGAATGACAACAACATAAACTTCAAAGGTCTTGGCCAATTGAGGGGCCACGTGCCACAGGCGTGCAGGGCTGCAGAAAACCTCTCCTCCCACGGAAGGTCAATTTCCACTCCTGTCTGCACCAAGGCCCACCAGGATCAGCAGAAAGAATTCTGAAATCTCAAGATCAACAGTCTACCTCCTTACTCCACCCGGGCCCCAGGCCACTGTGAGGGAAGAGTGGCCTGAGGCTTTTCCAGTTTGGGGGCCAAAATACCACCAGGCTGCGGGGGCAGAGACCAGGAGAGCAGGTGTGGCCATCACCTTTGACTGCCTGACCTGCCCTCTGAGGCCGCTGTTCCCAAGAAGCCCTTCCTTAATTGCCTGCCCCCCAGCTCTAAATGCTCTTCATTGCAGGTCCCCACCCCTGGTAAGCAGTTGTCTTAGACCAAGTTGTGTAACTTTCCTAAAGGGCTGGGCCTTGGCTCCAGGAGGCTGGTTAAATAACTCCTAGGTTCCTCCAGCCTGGTGCCCTCAATGTGAATCACTCCTGCAACCTCTAGGACGGGCTGGAGACACCAGTCCACAGCTCCTGGGATGCAGAGTCCCATGCTGCAGAAGTCCCCAGGAGAGGAGGAAGTGGGTTTCAGACAGGTCCCTTCTGCCCCAGACTCTGTCTCCTCTACACCTCTGGGAGCTTCCCACAGGAGCAACAGTTACCTTTCCTCCCAGCATCAGGGAAGCTAGCCCCCCCCCCCCCATCTCAGGGAAAGGTGTGCTGGGCAGGTTAGGACAAGAAGTGAAGCAGGCTCTGCACCCCCAAATACAATCAACACCTTTGCGTTTGCGACTTACAGGCAATGCTATAAGGATGTGGGTGGGCTACAAAGATGGCTGTTGCAGTGTAAAGACCTCGGTCACGCCTGAGAAGGCCACCCTAATCTCAACACTCTCTGAAGTGAGATGGGAGGCAGAGACAGAAATCCAGGGTCAAGCTAGCCTCCTGTGTGAAGCAGCGGAGACCGGGTCTCAAGTCAGGTGAAACAATGAGAGGACTGACTGTTCGTGCTACAACATGGCAGGCACACACTCGCTCACACACAAGCGTGCAGACATAAACGGGCGTGTGTGTGTGTGTGTGTGTGTGTGTGTGTGAACAGGGATAAGAATTATCTCTATGAAGAAAGGCCCACAATCAGTACTGCATGACTAACCTGAACTTGCCTCTCTACCCAAAACATCAACCTTCAGCCCACAGGTCACACGCATCCCAGTATAGCTACGCATACGGCCCAATACAGTTGCAGAGTATAATGCCGTGTAACGTGAACAGGCTAGACACCATGCAAGACAGTTTTGTCACCACCTTTAGTTACTCCTTCCCAGGCCCTGGTTTCCAAGCCAACAAATGGGATAGAATATTTAGCTATGGGGAAAGAGATTCCCTGCCAGTGTCAGGCCCATGGAGGAGGCAGAATGGAAGAATCAAATGAATGGTTCTGCAGACCCATGGAAAAGGTAAGGACACACCCTGCAAACACTTCTACTCTCTCCCTGTGTAGGTAGGCCAAGGGGTGGAAAAGCCCGGTGTGGCTGCTCAACTCTGTCACACCAGACTATCAGCTAGAGAGCCTCCTCCTCCCAGGCAAACAGTCCTGGCCTTCTCAGAGCCCCTCCTAGCAAGGCTCTGAAGATTAAACAAGGGCAGGGGCACACGCGTACAGTTGGCCCACCCCAGCCCATCCCAATTTCCCCACAATACAGCCTTAAAGGCAGTCCCGAAATTGCAGGAAGGATCAGGACTAGGCATTACTTCCTTAAAGAGATCCAGTCACACACCCCTGTGTGCTTCTTAACTGCTGCAGGAGGGTTTGGACACACGTGCTCTCAAGTTTCTTGAGTAGAAACCACAGCCAGTGGTGGTGGGGCAGGCCTTTAATCCCAGCATTATGTGCATCTGTGAGTTCAAGGCCAGCCTGGTCTACAGAGACTCCAAAGCTACAGAGAAACCCTGTCTCAAAAAACCAAAACCAAACAAACAAACAAAAAAGTAGAATAGTGGTCTAGGTTGCATGGCTCATGTGTGACTGGAATTTACAATTTATTACTGAAGGCTCCAAGTGGGAAGAAACGCAAAGGGTATGAAGCATTGTTACCCTTCTTTGCTATCCCACATCACGCACCCTTACTGAATTATCATACTGTATGCACACACATATACAACTTAAAAAAAATGAGTCTGTTCTTACCCAGTGCCCCCAGATGTAGTTTGAAGGAGCAGGGTGGGGTGGGAATTGTCTTAGTTAGGGTTTATACTGCTGTGATAAAACACCGCAATCAAAAACAATCTGGGGATGAAAGGTTACTTGGTTTATACTTCTACACCACTGTTGATCATTGAAGGAAGTTGGAGAGGGAGGACCTGGAAGCAGGAGCTGATGCAAAGGAGCACTGCTTACTAGCTTGTTCCATGGCTGGATCAGCCTGCTTTCTTATAGAACACAGTACCACCAGGCCAGGGGTGATACCACCCACAGTGCCTTCCCAGGCTCGCTCCCAGGCCAGTCTGGTGGGGACATTTTTTCCAGTTGAGGTTCCCTCTTCCCAAATGGCTCTAGATTATATCAAGTTAACATAAAACTATCCAGCACAGAAATAAACTTTTTATTGCCTTTAAATTTTTTTATTGTGTATGGATATGTGCAAGTCACGACACACATGTAGAGGTCAGAGGACTACTTTCAGGAGTGAGCACCTTCATTGCTGGGCCATCTCACTACCCATAAACATCGATCACTTCCCTCCACACTTGTGAGACCAAGGGAAGGAGTACAGCTTTACCTGGCTGGAATCACCTGGCTTTGATCTTGCAAGAGGTAAGATCCTCATCAGACTTCCATGGGAAGGTGTATGCCACTGGGCACCTGGGTATGACAGAACTTGAAGCGGGTACTTACCTTCATGCTGGACATCTTGAGAACTGGACCTGGTTGCACAAGACTGGAGACAGAAAAATGTTCAGCTCTTAAATGATCAAATTTAAAGGCACTCCAATCCTTCAATAAATGGGTGAACATGGAGTGGTAAATAAAATCTGACGGGGGTCACACAGAACAAACGAGTATGTAGGCAAGATTAAGACTCCAGTTATGACTGGTTTTTGTCTTCACAACGGCTCAAATGGTTTCCTTTCACCATCCCCAAGTATAGGCTGGCTCAGACAAGTGGAGGAGCCATGGGGTGCACAGTCCTCTAGACAAGGCTGATGATTCCTGGTGGCCCACAGGCCAGCCTCCAAGTTACACAGGTTCTCCTGGACTCCGAACAAGTATCCCCCTTGCAGGAAGGAACTGGTTAAACAGCTGCAGTTAGATTACAGGGCATGCGGGAGTGGGTGACAACAGCCAGGGAAGTACACATTCCTTCCTAAATATTTCAGCAGGAAGCCTAAATATTTAGATGGATGAGAGGAGAAAGAAGGCATATTGCAAAGCTAATCAAAGAGCCCTGGCCACCAAGAGAGCCCCAGAAGTGTTGGTACTGTTTTGCCTCTAGGGAGGGCTCAATGTAGCCTCCAACCCTGCATGGCCAACACCTAGGAAAGACAGTCCTGAGGTCACCTGGACCCAGGATTCTCTGGGAGGAAAGATTTAACCAAGGCTTGAGACTGGAGGGGAGAAACCACACTTTCAAGCATTGATTATGCCCATCATGGAGTGAACTGTGAGTTAATTTGAAAGGAATGGGAAATGGTGGGTGACACAAAAAACATGGGCTTGTTGGGTTTCACCATCTTCCTTGCTACCAACCTCTACATTCAGAACCCAGTGTTGGTGAGGCCTGTGAGGCGGGATCAGAGACAAGATGCTCAGAGAAAGGGGGTAGGGAGAGCAACTTAGGTCACCTGCTGTTTAGTATAAGTACCCTGATACAGTGCCTGAGCCTGAAGACAGTGATGCGCTACGGTCCCGTCTAAGGAGGAGACAACTTGCTCACGCTCATGCCATCAACACCCTGGATGCTTAGCCCCGAGCACCGAAAGATTCTGAAGACTCCACCCAGGCAAATGTGGCATTTCTCCATTTCTTAACCTTCCTCCTTGTTTCTTCCACTATCAACACAACAAAATGTATAGCAAATGTTCCAAGCTTGAGGGCTAGGTGTCAGTCTTCCTCACTCTCGTTGCGAGGCCCTAGATATACTACAGCCTCTGTAGTTGTCTTGGTTACTCTTCTTGCCACTGTAACTAAACACCTAACACCTCAGGTGCTCTCACAGGTCGCGAGCAACAGGAGGCTGTCATGGCAGGGAAGGCGTGTGCACTCTGGCCCATAAGCTCTATTACAGCCAGCGTTTTGGGGCTTCTCACACATACCAGTTTCAAAGACCTCCAGAAACTACCCTCAATTCCTGGAACCCATTTATCTTTCTCACCGCTGTGTCCACTAAAACAACTTGAAAAAGG